CATTAGGGAGTGAGTGAGTATGATGGATGTAAGTGTGTATATTCGTGTGGGTGTGTGTATAAGTGTGAGGCCTTAACACCTCCGTAAGCATGTCTGTCTTGTGTGGGTGAGAAATGTGGGTAGGTTTTGATTTGTAAAGTTATATATTAGTACTATCTATATTGTTAAATTTATGGTTTAGCCCGGCTGGATATTGTGTTTTTAGACGTTGTATCCCCTTATTTTCATGGAATTCTAAAATCTTTCTAATGTTATCTGCTCTGAACTTTTCTATTCTCTCAATTATAGTGAATTTGGCATGGGTTTTGAAATCGTGGTTTTCCAGGCGGAAATGTTGTTCTACAGGTAATAATTTTTCATGGGGAGTCGACTTAATTCGATTGCGATAATTATTAATTCTGTAGTGAAAGGGCCATTCAGATTTTCCTACATATTGTTTCTGGCATAGTGTACATTCTAGAAGGTAAATTATGTTATGACTTCTACAGTTAGAATCGTGGTAGATTTTGAAGGTAGGTTTAGTGATTGAGCTAGTGAATGAATTCGTGTGTTTAATATGGTTGCAGCATAAACTTCTTTTGTTGTTACATGGTTGGGAAAATCCTGTTGTTTTTGTTCTTAGTTTATTACGGATTACCTTGTCCCCTGAAATGTGGTTACTACCTATGATTTCTTTTAGGTTCTTAGGTCTACGATATGCAAGAAGGCTGGGTTCCTTAAACAATTTTTTAGGTCTGGTTTGAGATGTAGTATTTCCCAGCGACGTTTGATTATTTGAGATAGAGTGGGGTTGAAAGTGGTTACTAGAGGAATGCGGCTAGATTTATTTTTAATCTTGTACATTAGGGTGTACATTATATATATATATATATATATATATATATATATATATATATATATATATATATATATAATTATAATAATATATATAAGTATATACAGCCCTGGTCAAAATTTAAAACCAGATACAAAAGGGTTAAAAAAATACATAAAATACTGTTACTTTATTTAAAATATATTTGCGAAACATTTACATTTAATTAGAAAATATAGTTTGTCAACAAGCAAGTGAAAATTTTAAGCTTTTAATTGATTAATTTAAACAAACATTGAAAAAAGAATTTTTGGGTTAGTCATAAAGATAAGACCATGTAAATGAAAATACCAAATACAGGACAAATAAGTCACAACGACAGGAAGTGTAACGAAAACAAGAAAAAAAATGAAAAGCAAGTGTATTGAAAAGGTATAAAGAATAGAAAAGCAAGTGTAACGTAAATTTAAGAAATGGTGTCTTGTAAATATAGGGACAGATAGGAGGAAGCAAACGTATTGCAAAAATAATATTTGGGGTTTAAATTTATTTTTTTATCCGGCCTATTAGTCACTTAATAAAATTTTTTGATATGAACGCAAGGACTTAAGATTTCAGGTCTCTGGTTTAAAAGGTTTTGAGATCTGGAAATGTCATAATCGCTAATTTCTCATGTTGACAAAGCAAGGTAGCAAATGCAGGTATGATTAGTGTATTGTTTTACCTTTTTTTTTTAAATTTTTCATCTTACAAACGGGTCCCTGTTTATTTCTTTTAGATTCCACATATGGGTAGCAAGTTTGGCGGAGTATCTAAGATTTACTAGCTTAAAAGAAGATTTATGATTATACCAGTGACAAAGCTGATGAAATACACCTTGCGTCGGATGTGAAGGCCATTTACAACCTTCTTCGTGACGTTTACGGGCCTTCTACTTCACCTGTTGCTCCTCTAAGGATTAAAGATGGAAAAAACTTCTTCGACATCCCGATGATATTCTGTTGAGATGTCTTTAATATTTTGACGAGCTTTTCAATAGGCAAGAAAGAGGTTGACGAAGAGCTTATCTGGTCTATAACTTAAAAGCCTGTTAAAGAATTTCTCGCAGAGCCTTCAACGTTTGAGGAGGTTGAAAATCCTGTCAGAAATATTAATGGTGGAAAATCGCCTGGAATGGATGGGCTGCATGCCGAAATTTTTAAGCACGGAGGAGAAAGTCTTTTGCATCGGCTTCATTCGTTGTTACTGTTAGTAATAACAGTGTTCCCGATGACTGGAAAGACGGTGTCAAGGTTGCTTTGTACAAGGACAATGGGGAGGGGAAGACTGTGGAAATTATCGAGGCATATCGCTGTTGTGACAAGGTTCTTTGTGGAGTTCTGCTAAATCGCTTGTTGCACCACATTGCTAATGAAGCTCTTACGGAGTCACAGTCGAGCTTTAGGGCTGAACGTGGCACGGTAGATATGATTTTCACAGCCAGACAACTACAAGAAAATGTGTCGAGCAGAATATGGATCTCTACCAGATATTTGTGGACTTGACAAAGGCATTTGACACCGTAAATCGGAAGGCTTTGTAGAATATTTTAGGGTAGCTGGGATGTCTCGAAAAGTTTGTTTCCCTTCTTTGCTTGTTTCATGATGATATTAAGGAATGGACTAATGTTGGTGGAAAGCTCTCTGAGCCGGTGACATTTGAGAATTGAGTTAAGCAGGGCGACATTCCGGCTTCAGTCCTATTTGCCCTGTACTTCTCTATCGATTTTGAACAGGCCTTTAAGAACTGCAACCTTGGTATTTACATGCACTATCGTTCAACAGGAAAGTTGTTTAACTTGGGAGCACGTTGAACATGTTCTGTGATCTTGATGTGGTAATTTCAAACTGCATACAAAAAGCTATCAACGCTTTTGGAAAGCTGAATAAACGCCAGAACGGACTTTTTGTGAGTACAAAGCTAAAGGTTCATTGTGCATGTGTGTGCTTATAGCACTTCTTTAGGCTTTCGAGGCGTGGGTGGTTTACCGGAGATAAATGAAAAGGCTTGAGAGATTCCACTAATACTGCTTACATCTTATACTTGGCATTACCTGATAAATGTTTGTTAGAGGGAAGAGAAATGCCGTCAAACATAACTGTAAGGGCTGCATCAAGGATGCGCTGAAGAAATGCAATATTCTTTGTGAGCACTGGGGAAGAATGTGCATCTGATCGCAATAATTGGAATGAGGCTTCTCAGAGTGGAAGGTGTCACTTTGAGGAGGAAAAGAGGCGCGCAGCGCTTTAAAGAGATGTGCGTAAAGGCTTTCCGTTGAACTTCCTACACCAAGTTCAAAGACACCAGCTCGATCTGACGTGTACAGATTGTGGTAGAGTGTGTTTCTCGGTGGCTGATCCAAGAATCCACTTGAGAGCGCACCGACAGAGGATGGCAATTGACTATGAACCCGTAGACATACAGTTGGGCTACATCAGTAAATTTTCTCCAAAAAGAAATGTAGTAATGGGCATACTCGGATACGAGTTGGCAACCACACACACACACACACACACACACACACACACACATATATATATATATATAGAAAAATGTGTGTGTATATATGTGTGTGTGTGTATATATATGTGTGAATATATATATGTATATATGTATATATATGTGTGTGTGTTTGTGTGTGTGTATGTAGAATTTATGTATATATAATATATATATGTTAATATATATATATATATATATATAAGTATATATATTTATATATATGAGTATATATAAGTAAATATATACATAAGTGTATATATATATATATATATAATATATAAGTATATATTTTAATTGAGCCAGTATTACAGCACATATATATATATTTTTCAAGTTATAATATTTAGATAGGAATTGTTGATCTCTATGATGCGTAGAGACGCCACAGAAGAAACCATGTCCGTGTGTGTATATATGCATAGAACCCTTGCTGAATGTTCAATAAAATGCGTCTTAACTATGCATAGAAATGAAATAGATGTTCCAAGATTTATGAACGCAATAATGAGGCTTCTATATTCTGTTCACCATCTCTGCTAAGCCGAGTGACCAAGAAAAGGCAAGATACACGTACCTTGTATTTAGTATTAATGAACGAGTCGCGGATAAACGGAATTGCTGGCAAAATATACTTCCTAATTCGCAGCCGACTATTAGCTCTGGCTACATCATTATTGACCACTTGGAGTACATCCTTCTTCGTCTGCAACATAACAAATTTCGTCCACACTTACTGCGTAATTCTGTTTTCCACTGACGTCAAGTTTGGCGTTGGGCCCTCACTGATTTGCAAGACTGGATCACATTTTACTACGATGGCTGCTGTGACCAAAACGCATTTGGCCGCATCTTTGGTCAAAAGGTTCAGTAAAATACGTTGAGTGCCTTTATTTTCTATCCAAAAATTCTATAAGAATACCATAAAATAAGATTTTAATAAAAATTGATTCCTCAAAAAATGCTTATGAGAATAAATCTGTGATTAACGACATCCCAACAATTATAAATTAGCAATTATTTTACATTTTGAAGACGCAGCCTAATTTTCTTCAACTCAATTATAAAAAGGGAAATATATACAAAAATGATCCAGCGTTTGTATCAATTTTGATAATTTAATGACTCTTGCAGGTCGTCAGAAGGGTTTTCTATGGAAAAAAAAGTTATTCTTTTTCCTCCCATTACTTTCTCTTAATTTTATTTTCCGAAGTAAATAAAACACATTTTATTTGATGATCCTTGAATATCAATGTAAAATTCCTTTCTGCTACAAGTTGATACCATTGTACTTGAATGTGGGAAAGCATTTTCTTGACGCAGCAACAAAAGCTGAAAGGTACCAGTTTGATATAAACTTACAGAAAGTGCTTGAGTGGCATAGTGGTTGAGCGTAAAGAACATTTTTCATAGAATTTACAATAGAGGATGGAGAAATATAAACAGTGGGTAAGAATTTTTCTTCATTTCTTTCTAATTACTTGTTACGGCTGAAAAGCATAATGCCATAGCATGGAAAATTATTTGATGTTGACGTGCAGAAAGATCCGGAAGTGTTGATTGTTAATGTGAATGCTGAAAAAAGTGTGGCACGTCCGCATCCCTCTTATGAACAGAAGTCTTTATTCAGAATATCTGCTAACATGAGTTAAAAAAAAAAAAAAACTCTGAATACACTGGACGCGGGATAAGAACAGGAAGGAAGAGAAAAAGAGAAACGGCGCAGGACAAAACAAAAAGAAAAATAACAGGAAAGAAGAAAATGGGAATAAAGAAAAGAGAAAAGATTATGGAACCAATAGAAAAAAAAAGGAGTGTGAACGAAAAAATGAAAGATATAATGTAAGTAAATGAAAGAAATGGGTATCAAAAAGAAAAGACCAAAAGAGTGAGATTTGAAGAATAGAAGGACGAAATGAAGGAAGAAAAAAGGAATGATGTTAAGTAAAGAGACAAGAGATCGATAGATAGATCTCTCCTAATCCATATTGTAAAATACGAAAGTCGGTAGGAAGATCAAAGTAGACAATTATACGGCTCTTGTATAACATTTGAACTACGAAAATTGTATTGTATCGATAACTATTTCTGGTGTTTTAAAAAGCGTTATTTACAAAGAATGAGAGTAATTATAAGAATATTTGTAATACCGCAATTTAATTTTAAAAAAAAGGTACAAGTGACGGACATAGCAGACTAAATTTTAATTCCGAATTTGGAAGATTTTACAATGAAGATTTAATAATGTTTTCTTTAAAGGAAATCGAATTGCTTTTTGATAAATGTTAGAATTCGAAGTTTTAATATTCCATTTTGGTTTTCCTTTCAGTTTTTTCTTTTTTGATTTTCATCTTTGTTTTTCTTTCTTATTTATTTTTCTTCATCATGATGATAATGATCATCATCATCATCATCCACTCACTGATTGTCTCTAACAATAGTAACTGGTGAATGGTGATCATTTTTCACACTTTCTAAGAAAAATTCGAACTGTATTCAGTAATACTGTCGTCTGGAAGGTCCCGCACCCCCTTTTGACCACCAGCGATATCCAGAATCATCGGGACTGTTCCTAGTGATCCAATAACTCTTGGTATAACTGTTACTTTTTCGTTCTACAATTTTCTCAGATCCGGTCTTTTGTTTTCGATTTACTTCGTGAACTGCTGGAACATAAAAAAACCCAAAAAAAACCCAGCGTTACTATTGATGGAGTTCATAGCTGTCCACGCAAACTATTTACTAAAATGACGTTCACAGAAGTGGGGTACGGAAGTGCTTCCTTGGCTACATGTACTGAGGTTAACGACTGAAGATAAAGCTAATAGCCAAAAGGATTAGGACATAAAGTAGGAGAGAATCGGTTATTAAGAATTAGAACACCATACACATCATCGTTAAATCCTTTAATTCTTTACCAGCATCTTTTCTTTTTTTCTGATTTCCTGCTTAAAATTGTCTCAATTTTGTTATAATTTGGGATTAAGGTAAATTTTTCACCCGTCAGCCATTAGGAGATTGTTGTTTTTTTCAGACATTTGCCTAACTACTGTAATAATCGTTCTCTTGCATAATCGTGAATCGCTTTAACCAGGCTCCATTCATCCAATTATTATTATCATTATTATTCTTTGCGTTTTCTTACTCAGAAGTAACTGGTAGCATGCAATAGAGTAACAGCAATTCTTCTCATTACTCGCCTGTTTTCAATAATGGATGGTTCTGACTTTTCTCCTCTTCGCAATTCTAGTGATTCGATGACTTACTGACACCCTGTTCTGCTTATTGCATTGCCCTTTTTTCCTACATGTTTGAGTAAAGCAATTACTTTTTTTTATTGAGAAAGATAAATAGAGAAATAAACGACTTCAGTTCTTAGGGATTTTCATTTTCAACTAATTTCCTTCTTCGTTTAAGCCAATTTTTATCTTTTAACCAGTCGGCATCACATGTCTTGTACAAACCAGCGACGCGTTAACTTACATTTGTACCAAGGAATATGCTTTTTCATTGCAATGAACAAATATAGCGATCAATTCACTTATGATTATCTATTTAACGATAAATAAAATATTAAACAGCAAACGCGTGCTAAAATCAGTAAAAAAAAAAAGAAAAAAAGTCAGATCTATGTAAATGTAGAGAATCGGTTATCAGCGAGCGGAATTTAAAATCCAGCTGTAACAGTTATTTTCCCACTTATGTATTTGGGAAAGGCATAAATCCCTCATTTTTTTTTCTTTTACTATACTCGATATTAGTTACATATGCGTTAAATAACGAAGTAGACTAGACTCTGTAGCCTTTGATGGCAACCAGTCCATAGGAAAGAAGAATCATGGAGAAGACAACAGAAATCCACTTCACTATCGTTCCTAAGAAGTAATGGCAATTTCTAATAGCATAATAAAGAAAACTGGAGAGCCATGATCCTTTATGATCTGAAGGGACATTTAAATATATGTTCATGACACCAATAGATATACTTGTGCGTGCTGGTTAGGTAGGTACCTGCAAAATACTTTCTCGAATTAGAATTTTACACATTGTCCTTTTAATGAGATCTTCAAAACTTCTAATTCATGGTTTGCTTATTGTTAGTAAAATCCAGACAAAGATTGGATAAATTTGTTTAATTGTAACAGGAAATATGAAAAAGAGAATAAGAAGAAAGACGATGAATGTAATAAGAAAGGAGGAGGAGGGGAAATAGAAAAAGGAAAATATATGAATAAGGAAGTAAAATGGGAGAAAAAGCAAGTAAAGACAATAGGAAACTGAGAAAAAGAGAAGGGACAAGAGAGAGAGAGAGAGAGAGAGAGAGAGAGAGAGAGAGAAAAGAAAAACCTACATCAACTTGAAGGAGGTGTTAAAAAACTTAGCTCCGAAAAAACTAAAATCGACGCAGTGATTGGTTGAAAAAGAACAACACGAAAAGAATATGCATATCATTCAACGGAAGCCATGCAATGTTTTACAGATGGTAAAACAGTCCTGTTCTGAATTTTGTACATACCAGAATCGCAAATAAGAAAAATCAAAGAAAAAAAATGTTAAATCTTTGACATGTAAGTGAAAAAAAAAAAGAAAAGGTGAAAACATTAAATAAACAAATAGCAGGACTTTGAAAAAGAGATTAAAAAATGATCAAGTAACAATTGTTCTTTCTGGTTTCGATATTCCTCACAAAAGAAGCAGGGACAAGGAAAACTAAAGTTGGGTTAAAGTCAAGAGACAATAGAAAGGAAGTTTGTTGCAAATTTGAGGATAATGAATTACAAATTTCAGTGGCACAGTTCAGAAGAAAAACCCGTCATTTAAACATTCAAATCTAAATCCAGCATAACTTTTCCAGTACAGTATCAAACATTGCATCTCTTGTATAATAAAAGCAATAATTTTACCGGTGTAGTAACATTATCATGACTACTTGAAAAATAACAACGGAAAAAAGAAGTCGGTAAAATATTAGAAAATAAATTAAACAAGTTAATCAAACAGATAAATACATGGACAAGAGAAGAACGGAGTAAGTTGGATGGAAATTATTGTATGATGTCTTTCACTTAAAAGATGACGTCGATAAAACATGTTGAAATAAAAGAGGTAGGAAAAAGGCTCCTTAATGCTTCAGATTGCATTAACTCTGCCATTAGAGAAGTTGAATAGAAGGTGTAATGAAAACTGTATTACAGTAGCAAAAAAAAAAAAAAAAACTACAATAAAACTAACGGGAAGTGGGATTCTGAAAGAACAAATAGAAAATAACAAGAAAAGCAACTGAAAGATCATTTAAAGAGAAGTTCCAGGAATGTGAAATGGCATGGACATAAATGCAAAAACAGGATAAAGAAAGTTAATTCTTATTAATCCATTTTATAGACAAGACACAGGGTAATAACAAATACAGACTGCGTGAAAAGCAAACTGAGACTGTCAAGCATATAAGAAGTGAATGCAGTAAGCTGGATGAGAAAGAATACAAAAATAGGCATGGCCAGATGGGATGGGTGATCTCTTGGGAACCGTACAAATGATTAGAATCTAAAACAAAATTCTCTTAAACTTTGAGTTTTAAACTGATCAATGAGAAGAATTATCGTAAAGGGTGAGAATTGTCTGAGAGGAGATTTCACTGTTCCATGAAATCAAAGAGTAAAAGTAAGTAAACTCTGAATGCTACACAAATATCTAAAACTTAAAAGAGAATTGAAAAAATGATTGAACATGAGAGTCGGGTCTATCATTATTGGAGCAATGGGAAGATCATAAAGAACTTAGTGAAGAGGTTGGAAGATCTGGGTGTAGGAGGAAGAATCGAAACTATCCAAATGATAGCACTTGGAATAAATCATTGGATCAACACTCTAGTGATAATCAGTTTTTTTTTTGGTATCACTTAATGTTCACTGGTTACTACCAGGCACCCGGTATGAACATATAAGTGCGAATGCAAAATATAAACATACCAGGCACCCAGTATGAACATATAAATGCGAATGCAAATAGCAATAACAAAAAATATTTGAACCAATGAAAATTTTATGGTGCGCGTCTATAATTTAGAAACACAACTCCGATTGGTTTAATAGTTTTACTAATTTGCAAAAATACATTTACAGTTTGGAATACTTGGCATGTGCAGTCAATGAAAAAATACTCTTTAATTTTCAACTCTTGTTAGAAACAATGTTCTTTGTAAAAATACACCTGTTTCTGGAACAAGGAAAAACATAGGAAAAAATAAAAGAGAATATACAAAACAAGAAAGAAAATGAAAAACAAAAAAAAATAATTAATGACATGAGAAACCAATATCTTTAGAAATGAAAGTCAAACGTTATGTGTTGAAACAGAGAAAGTCAAAAAAAATTTTTGAAAATTAAAAAAATATCTAGGAAAGTATTCTTACAATCCTTACAGGAAAATCTTCAGGTCTGAAAAAGACACTTCGATTAACAGTTCACCCTGAATATGCCTGGTGGAAATAGAATATAGTCCACTATACATCCGAGTATCACAAAGTCTGTCTCCAAACGTAAATATCAACGAACCTAGCAATGAAGAAGTCAAGAAAACTATAAAAAAAAGAATGAAGCATCACTTGACATTAACGCTGAACATTTGAAAATAGCATACTCAGCCTCCAAATGTAAAAACAAATTTCTCATTTTCATGAAGGAAATCTGGAATCAGAAGCGAATCACAAAGCATATTAATACACTATGGAAACACAAAGGTATTCCACACATACAGAGATATCTCAATTGGATCCATTATGGTGAAAGTACTAATGGATATTGTATTGACAAGGCTCTCACCGTTCTATGATCAACTTAATTTTATTTTCATTCTGTTAAGGGGTGTAATAATGTAATCAAACAACTCCATGAAACTGCATACCTCTCGAATAGAAAATTGTATACCTGTTATGCTGACCTCTCATAAGCATACGGCACCATGAATAGAGACTTTCTCTTCTCATCCATGAGAAACCGTCGTCCAAGCTATACTTCCACTGAATATATAGATCTGATAGAGAAACTATATTTGTCCACAAAATCGTACATGTCTAAAGATCCAAATACTGAAACATTTCAAACTTCATCAGGAGTGCAACAACGAGGAAATGAGTACCCAACTCTAATCTCTTTATAGTATATACCATGCACATATACAACCACATGTGTGAAGAGATGGTCACTGATTATTATTTAAGTATTCCATATCACATCTCAAACGAATCAATGTTAATTTTCTCTCTCTCGTGGCCAGTGTACTGATGATGAGGGGGAGTCTATGCCTGTCTAAGATATAAGTATTCATAGTTGCGATAAGAATGATATTGAACGAAAAATCTGCAAATCTGTAACAAGAGTTCCAGGAAATAGGACAGAAAATAAACCTTTCCAAAAGAGAAACTATAATCTGGAATTGCAATGAATACTCTGAATCTATTACAAAAATCCAGGATGTGCAATTAGTATATACTAAACAGTTTAAATACAGTGTATGCATCGGCTGTAACAAATTTAGTATAGGAGATTAGGAAATTGAACATAAAATAGGAGAAAGTTATCTATCTATATTTCTGCGATGAGGTATTATGTACCCTATTTACATTATTCGGTCTATTGTCTTCATCTTTGTCACCATATTTATTACAACGTTTCAGCCGTTGTACGCTCTGGCCTTCTTCAAGTGGTTGGAATGTCGCTCACTGGGGTAGACTGTTCTAGTTCCACGTGCCATGTTTTAATGGATTTCAGTTGTCAGTTATCTCCTGTTAATTCCCCAAGTTCTCCACTGCCTTAATCGGATATTGAACTCACACTCTTTGGGTCCTGTCACTGGATCTAACTAACACCTTTATTCACTGTGCCATGTGTCCTAATTATAAACCTAATGTCTTCAGCAACCATTTTTCCAGTGCTCATATTGCAATTTTTGCTGTTATCATGACATGTTTTTACCAGAGCTCATATTACAATTTTTGTTGTTATTATCGCTTTTCTCTGGCACTCCTTCCCATATTGTATTCATTTCTATGCTTGGTCGGCTCAGGAGATTTTTGTGGCCTAGTATATGTACTGATTCCTTAAGTTTACGAATTTTCCAATGGTGTTCTTTGTCTATGATTTCAACCTGATCCCACAGAGGGCAGTGATCTCCCTTCTCAATCCATATGTGGTCAGCCACGCCTGATTTTTCCACTTCCCCTCGTGTTGCAGCTTTCTGGTGTTCTTGAAGCCTTACCTTAAGGGGGCGGCCTGTCTCCCCTTTATATTCCTTTCCGCAGCTGCACGGAATAGCGTACACACAGTCTTTAGTCATGTTCTCCTCTATGGGGGAGGGGGCTTACTCGGGAGAGATACCTGCGAAATGTCGTCCAGCTTACGAAGGTTGTCCTGATGTTATATGGACCGCAGGTCCTTTGTATTTTCTCTGATAACCCCTTCGCAGGCACACTGTTTTCTGGGTGTTGTTGTCCGCCTCTTGTACCCACCTATCCGAGTTTTTTGGGGCTGCTGCCATGTACCCAGGGTAGTTGTTACGTTGTAGGGTACTATTTATACTGACCAATTCTTTATCTAATGTCTGGGTCGCCACTTATGACTTTTGCTCGGTGTTGTAAGCAGCGGACGATCCCTTTCTTTACGCTGTATGGATGGTGGGAGTTGAAATTGTGGTACTGTACGGTAAATGTCGGTTTACGGTAAACGGATGTCTTGTTTGAGAATATCCAGGAATGGGAGTGTGTTGTTACTCTCTTTCTCCATCATGAACTGTTATCGAAGGTTTTATTGAGTTCACATGGTCCAGTAGAACCTGAACATATTCCTTGTGTGGCCAGAGTATTTAGGTGTCATCTACGTACCTAAACCATACAGTTGGCTTTAGAGATATAGATTCTAATGCCATTTCCTCAAAATATTCCTTGTATAAATTGCTGGTGATAATGGCGAGTCGATATATGCGTGATCCCATTCCGAAGTGTGTTGTTTGTGTACAGAAAATCAACATCTCCATCAGATTATCTACTGGAATACTGACCCGTTCTTCTAGGGAAGAGACAGAGGCCAATCGGTCTCTGACTACTGAGAGTGCCTCCTCCGTGGGTACCTTGGTGAACAAACTCACCACGTCCAAGCTCACCATCTGGATGGATAGGATGGGAGCATCTTTGATTATTTCCACGAAGTGGGCGGAGTTTCGGACATATGAAGGTGACTTTCCGATCAATGGGTCAATTATATCCACAAGGAAGCGACTCAGAGGGTGGCACACAGAGCGTTGGCAACTAACAATCGGCCTGAGCGGAATACCGTCTTTGTGAATCTTAGGGAGACCATATATATGAGGTTGCTTGGTGTAACGCTGCGATTTGGATCATATATATTCAGACTATTGTCCTCATCTTTTTTGTTCTCACAACGTTTCAGCCGTTAGGTTGTCCAGGCTTGTGTATATCTATCTGGCTAACCTATAGGGAATTCTGAATTGAAGCCTTTATTTAATTTACGGGATTAGACTGTTCTTGTTCCATTGCCCTTGTGTAGGGATATTGTGTAGATATTTTTAGTACTACTCAATTATTGATGATTATGTCACCAAATCCACGAAGCAACCCTTTAATTGATTAGGCTATTGCCTCGTAGAACAATTCGCTGTAGTGAACTTTGAACTTTAAACTTAACTTGCCTGTTGATTAGGTGCTACAACTGCTGCTCCTGTCATGTCTACCCGTAAAGATTTGATTGCTAGTGCTGCTGAAGACTTGCTGCCATTTGCTTGTCTTTCTTTATTAGGAGTTCCCATATTGTATTTATTTCTATACTAGGCCTCTATTAAGAAGGTCCTCATAGCCTAGAACATGCGCTGATTCTTGTAGACGTCTAACTCTCTCCAGTTTCCTCCCTTGTTCAGTATTCTCACTTCATTCAACAGGGTGGGGGGCATGACGACCTCTTTCTCTCTATTGTCGATTTCATTGTCTCACTATGTTTTTCAATGTTTCTCCAGACTTACATTTTAGGAAGGTGACTTTAATTAAGTAAAAGGTTCAGTTTCCACAAATCAATATACACCTGAGGATCCAATAGTCGAATACAACAAAGATGGGGACAATAGTCTGAATATAAATGTAAATAAATATTAATATAAGTAAAAATGAAAGAAAAGCGACAGAGAGATAGATAGATAGATAGATAGATAGATAGATAGATAGATAGAGAGAGAGAGAGAGAGAGAGAGAGAGAAAGATGCCTTAGAAATGAAAACTGATATGAACTTTTGTCGATTAAACAGCGTGCATATAAATTTTAAATTTTGTTTTCATTTTTGCAGAACATTTTAAAGAGTTTGCTTTGCAAATGAAAACGTTTCTTTTCATTCTTGGAAAGGAAGCAAAAAATAAAAGAGAAGCATTCAACTTGGTCTTTCTCACAAGTAAGTAACACACTGTAAGCGTCATCCCAAAAATAGCGATGTGGGTGTGGTCACGTCATTGTTCATTCGCAGCTGGAAAGCTTCGTCGAATTTCAAAAGATTCCGTACACAACACTGTACATTAAAATTCATTAGACTCCAGTTGGTCAGGTGTATCTTCAGGAAACAAGGCCCAGTTCAAAGAACGTGAAACAGCAAACAAATTGCAAAAGTAAAGTATGAGGAAAATCAACAGGATCAAAAAAAGTGAATTGACCGATAAGAAAAGAATTTCTAAGTTTGTGTAATAAACAAATGTAAATATAGGGAAAAGATTCAGAATATTTGCTAAAATATGAAGAGAACGTAGCTAAAAATATCGAAGTAAACATCAGCAAAGAAAATGCATAAGTTTGGTGAAGAAGTAAATGAACTGATTTCTTATTAATTTTTATGGTAAATGTGGTGTCACATATCATGGAAATAGTCAATAAACACGATTTCGAAAATGTAGATTAATGTTTTGGAGCGGTACTATAGGCAGCTATACTATAGGTAGCAAAATTACTTATCAAACTTAGAATAAAATAATAGGAAAAACAATGAGATTTATAATTCAGAGTTCTTAACATTTATTTTTGTTTTTTAAAAAAGAGTAGAGCATAATGTTATTGTTTTTTTTAAATATATAATCATCGCAACACCGAAATTCCCATGTTTCAAAATTGAAACTTCAATTTAAATTCAGTCATACAAATTAAACTTAAAATACAAAGTTTCGTTTCATTATCAAGTGATGCTAAAAATAAGATTTTAGAAAATTATTTACGTAATTTATAAGTCCAGACAAATTTGATATTTTGAGATGAAAATTCCATATTTTTTAAGAGTTAACTCATTTAGAAAAATCATGTATCTAATGTATTGTAGGTGTTGCAGCGGGCCGAGTGGTGTGAGTGCCAATCGACCGTACAACTAAAATAGGGGACACAAAAGGCAAGGAGATGGCAATAGCAAAGAAGGATGACAAACGCAGATGGTCCGTTGTAGACGATGGAAACGTGTCTTTATTTGCGAACGGTGGATGGTAAGACGACAGAGGTCGTTTGTTTGGGAACGGTGTCCGGACGTTAACGGGCGCTGGACGTCAGTGGGCACTGGATTAGATCGTCAGCGGGTGCTGGAATAGGTAGCGGGACGTCAGTAGAGCGCCGCAGGGGTGAGCTGGAGGCCGCTGGAAGCTGTTGGGGTGAGCTGGAGACTGCAGGAGTGCTGGAAGCTACAGGAGTGAGCTGGAAGCAGTAGGAGTGCTGGAAGCTGCAGGAGTGAGCTGGAAACTGCAGGAGTGCTGGAAGCTGCAGGAGTGAGCTGGAAACTGCAGGAGTGCTGGAAGCTGCGGGAGTGATCTGGAAGCTGCAGGAGTGATCTGGAAGCGGTAGGAGTGAGCTGGAGACTGCTGGAAGCTGCAGGAGTGATCTGGAAGCGGTAGGAGTGAGCTGGAGACTGCTGGAAGCTGCAGGAGTGATCTGGAAGCGGTAGGAGTGAGCTGGAGACTGCTGGAAGCTGCAGGAGTGAGCTGGCGTCTCAGAGGGAAGGCCAAAGAGTGGAGTGAGTGGAGCCTTGAAGAGTGGTGATCGAATGACTTTCGGAAGTTAGCCCCGAAAAGGACTGTTTGAACAACTGCTGCTACTGCTGCTGGGTCCCGTCAGCTGCTGGGCTTGGTCGACTTGACTGGGCGCGTCAAAGTCGCGAATCAGGAAGGCTTCCTGCTCCCTGGCCGGCGGTATTTACTTAACTCCCACGGGGTCAAGATGTGACACAAGGTCGTTTTTCGTGGGAAACCCGAGCGTTTCCACATAGGGTCACTGGTCAAAGATTGGTCATAACATGTCCAAGCTGGTCAAAACTTAGTCAAGTTCTGGTCCAAGTTAGTCTTAGCTTGTCTTAGCAGGTGTGGTCCAAACTAGACTTTGCCATGGTCGCAACCCAGCCTGAAGGCCGGGCTGCTCCCTGGCCGGCTAAAAACCGCTGCGAAGTCTCGGGCATCTAGATATGACGGTTCATACAAGAGAAGCGGTGACGCTAAACAAGTAAATGAATATAATTAATTTCGGGCCGTATTAATTACAGTCAAAAGTGTGTTCGGTGTTTGTTGACTGTATTTAAATTAATTTCGGTTCGAAATTAAAGGTCTTTTATTTTTGTTTAGTGGCGAAAATTGAGTTTTGTATGTTTCTGTCAGTTTGAAAGGATGTCGTTGCTATTTTTAGCACACAAGGGTCGTGACCTTTCTCTACCGGCAGGCATATCCGGGGTTGTTTAAGAAAAGGTGGAAGTGGTGTTTGGGCACACTGCAACATAGGTATAAAGTCAGTCAAGTCAACGCTGGGGTATCTGCCTATTGATACAAACTACCCTTTTCCAAGTATGTGATAATGTCGATGTTCCAAAACATCGTCTGGGTTTCAATAACAAGACATTTAGCATTTTTATTTTTTATTTTTATAAATTTCAATTACGATTTTTTCAAAAGGGACATTCAAATATTATTGAGTCACATTTTTAATATTTACATTTTTATTTGTACTGACTTAAGATATTTAATTATTTTAATTGTCTTTAATTTATTTACTAATTGAGTACATATATGGTATGTTAAAATTAATATATTAGAATCTAATTATGTATTCATAAACTATTTTATTTATGATCAAACATAAATATGTTATTTTCACTTTTTTAAAAATTAGCTATTACTTAAGGAAAACATTTGGCAATGTTTACAAAAACAGGTTATTTCATTTCTTTGATTTAATAAATTTTTATTTTTCAGAAACTTAATTATATTTAACTTTTCATGTATGCACAAAGGACATGGGTCATTTAAAGATCTACAAGTTCTTTTTTTTTTCTTTCTTAATTTCCATTTTACTGTTTTATGGTTTCTTTTAAATGCCAGAAATATTTAGATGTCTGGCTGCGGTATTTAGTATTATTGAAGGAACTTTGGTGTTGGTTCCAACTTAATTTAAATTTATTCTTTGTACATCCTACATAGACTCTAACATCATTAGGATGAGATATTGCATTGATAATCTACGGATTTTATACGACATTTATTATTCAGAGGACAATTTTCAGGAAGTCGCATTTCTAATTTGCGTACTTTTTAATTAAAATATAGGAACACATAAGAAGATAAAATAAAAATGCTATGAATTAATGTTTATTAATCTGAATATTGTGAAAAAGTTTTAGAGTGGTTTGTCGAATCGTATTCTTCTGTTCTTCATACGTTTGGCGGTACTGAGAAATTTCCCCTTAAAATTATCCAAACATATTCTAATCATTAGTATTTTAATCTGAAAATTTTATTAATAATCTTTCCATAGTAAATGCATACATTTCAATACATTGTAATAAAATGTGAAATTTCTATATCTAATTAAATCATGCATTTTTTAACAAAAAATAAAATAAAATAAAAAACAGAAATTCTTTTAAAGACCTTCAAAATAAATATGAAAAAAATCAAAATATTCAAAAATTTTAATGCAGACAAATATTCAAATATTTATTTGTTATTATCGGCTCATATTATAAAATTTACCTATTCATAAACCTCCATTTTCTTTTAACACTACAGTAAATACATAAAACTTGACAAGCAAAATAGTTATTCATTTCCATCTATAAATTTTAGGAAATTTTCCATTACTATGGTTAAGCAGAAGAAACTTTTACGGCACTAATCAGGTATTATGCATACATTAATCGAATTTTGCTATATAAAACATTTAGCGCATTAATCGAGGGATATATATATATATATATATATATATATATATATATATATATATATATATATATATATATATATATAAAAAAAAATTCCATGTTTCGGTACTTAAAAATGTTCCATCCATCAGGTTTAAGTGTTTATCTAAAATTTTATTATTATTTTTTTTTAATAATTTTCTAGATTTTAAATAAACACTTAAACCTAAGCGACAATAGTAAATCCAAAGTAGAAATCATTAATATTGATAATGAATTATGTAATTGTAGAAATTCCATAAATTGTCCTTTGCAAAATAGATGTCTTACAGAATCAATTGTTTACCAATGCAACATTTCATCTACTGAAAACCCGACTGTTAAGAAATTTTATATTGTAGCACAAAAAAAAAAACAAAAACAAAAAAAACCAAACTTTTAAACAAAGGTGGTATCAACATATATACCTTCTTCAGTATCTGTCTACATTTCTGAGATGAGGTATTATGTACACTACTTACATTATTCGGACTATTGTCCTCATCTTTGTTGCCATATTTATCACAACGTTCCCGCCTTTGTACGTTCCGGCCTTCTTCAGGTGGTTGGAATTTCGAACTGAACCCTTTATACCCCTACAGTGGAGAACATGACTAAAGACTGTGTGTACGCCATCCTGTGCAGCTGCGTAAAGAAATATAAAGGGGAGACAGGCCGCCTCCTTAAGGTAAGGCTTCAAGAACATCAGAAAGCTGTAACACGAGGGGAAGTGGAAGAATCAGGCGTGGCTGACCACATATGGAGAGAGAAGGGAGATTACCGCCCTCTGTAGGATCAGGTTGAAATCATAGACAAAGAACATCATTGGAAAATTCGTAAACTTAAGGAATCAGCACATATGCTAGGCCACAAATAAACTCCTGAGCCGACCAAGCATTGAAATGAATACAATATGGGAACCAGTACTAAAAAGTGCCGGAGAAAAGCGATAAAACAACAAAAATTGTAATATGAGCTCTAAAAAAATATATAATGATAACGGCAAAAATTGCAATATGAGCACTGGTAAAAATGGCGCTGAAGACATTAGGTTTATAGTACCCAGAAATTCATACACAGATGTCCTCAAGGACACATGGCACAGTGGATAAAGGCGTTAGTTAGATCCAGTGTCAGTTCAATACCTGGTTAAGGCGTTGGAGAACTTGGAGAGGGGAATTAACAGGAGATAACTGATAAGTGACATCCATTAGACATGGCACGTGGAACTAGAACAGTCTACCCCAGCGAGCGAAATAAAATGTTCAGTTCGACATTCCAACCATCTGAAGAAATCCGGAGAGTACAATGGCCGGAACATTGTGATAAATATAGCAACAAAGATGAGGACAATAGTCCGAATAATGTAAATAGCATATATCTTCTTTTAACAAAAATGCGTACCATAACCGAACATCCCTCTCTAAATATTTTGGTATTTAAAAGCAATCAATAAAACCTCCACCGTAACATGGAAAATATTAAAAAAACGAGAATTTGTAAGTACTTAAATGATCCAGGTCCCCTCTGTCTACATGAAAAGTTGCATATTATTAAGTTGCCTAAGAATAATGATCTCCTAAATCAGCGTAATGAATTAACAGTAATTTGCAGGCATTGCATAATGTTTACTTTAAAATAAAGTTAATAGAATTTTTTTATAAAAAGTCTATGCATTACAATTATGTATCCATTATTTTATTAATATATAATAGTCCATATAATATTTATTTAATTCTTTGATTTTTCAATATTGCCATATTTTATAGCCTATTCAATATAACAAGTATTGTATTTGAGTTCAAAATAGTATACATAAAAAGATCACAATAGAGGCCTCTTTAAGATAGTTCTTAATAATTTAAGATAGTTCACATAATTTTTTTTAAATCTTGAAATTCTTTAGAATTAACCTTTTGTTAAATATGTCTTTTCTACTTCACTGTATCTTAAATTTATATCCGTAACCGGATGTCGTTTGTACTGATGTGTCTTAAAATTGTCAATTCATCTAGACACGAATCAATAACCCACCTACCCCTAACTTCCAACCTAATTTTTCACTTTTCTACTTTTCTATTGGTTCTTTAACACCCACAAAATGTTGAAATCTTATCCCCCCTCCTTTTGAACTCTCAAATAAGCTACCGAATTATTTTCTAATTTTACAAGTAAATCATTTTCGTCATAAGTTACCCAACATCGCCTGATGATGGAACAATTTTTAAGTTCTGAAACATAAATTTTTGTGTAGCGATGTCAAATATTTTATAATAAAAATATTATTATAATATTTTGCTCTATGTTGTATCGAGCACTTACTTTTTTTTTTTTAAGTAAATACGATGGAAAAAGTCGACTCGCTCCTCCTGATCTAACCCATCCAGGGAACGTTTGACTAACAAAGATACACTTCTGGCCTGCCTATCCCCGTATGCTGAATAGACGACAAAGTCGTTAGCACACTGGCATCGACGTCGCAAACAAACTGTGTCTCCTGGATCGCGGCCACTTCTACAACAAAAGGACCCGAGATCAGCCTTACCGCGATCTCTCAAGCCCCTTACATTCAGGCTGGCTAGTTTGATAAACATGATTTAAACCTCGTCGGAAATCTATGGGGGTCAAGACGCCGACGGATTGTCCAAGGGTTCCCGTTCCGATTAACTAGGAGTCGTAATTCAACCGTCCCTGACAATGCCACCGACCTCTGTCGGGAAGGTTATGTTGAGAGCCAATATATAAAGAGGGGGTGGAGCCGAATGGGGTCCCTCCCAGCACACATTTGCGACATCTTTTTTAAATCATTTGTCCTCATTTGGACCA